TACAAGAGCTCCTGAAAGAGGCTCTACACATAGAAAGAACAACCAGTACCAGCCACTCCAAATACATGCCAAATGGTGAAGAGCATCCACACAATGAAGAATCTGCAACAACTAATGGCCAAAACAGCCCGCTAGCACCAAAATGGCAGAATCAAATTCACACATAACAATATTAACCCTAAAAGTAAATGGACTAAATGCCCCAATCAAAAGACACAGACTGACAAATTGGATAAAAAGCCAAAACCCATCCATGTGCTGTATCCAGGAAGCCCATCTCACATGCAAGGATACACAAAGGCTCAAAATAAAGGGATGGAGGAAGATTTACCAAGCAAATGGAGAGAAAAAAAAAAAAAAGCACAAGTTGCATTTCTCATCTCTGATAAAATAGACTTTAAAGCAACAAAGATCAAAAGAGACAAAGAAGGACATTATATAATGGTAAAAGGATTAATGCAACAAGAAGAGCTAACGACCCTAAATATATATGCACCCAATACAGGAGCACCCAGATACATAAGGCAAGTTCTTAATGACTCACAAAGAGATGTAGACTCCCACACAATAATAGTGGGAGACTTTAACACCCCATTGTCAATATTAGACAGATCAATGAGACAGATAGTTAACAAGGATATCCAGGACTTGAACTCAGACCTGGACCAAGCAAACCTAATAGACATTTACAGAACTCTCCACCCCAAATCCACAGAACATACATTCTTCTCAGCACCACATCACACCTACTCTAAAATTGACCACATAATTGGAAGTAACTCAGTCCTCAGCAAATGCAAAACAACAGAAATCGTAACAAACAGTCTCTCAGACAGACCGCAGTGCAATCAAGTTAGAACTCAGAATTCAAAAACTAACTCAGAACCACACAGCTTCCTGGAAACTGAACAACTTGCTCTTGAATGTTGACTGGATAAACAATGAAATGAAGGCAGAAGTAAAGACATTCTTTGAAACCAACGAGAATAAAGACACAACATACCAGAATCTCTGGGACACATTTAAAGCAGTCTCTAGAGGAAAATATACAGCAATAAGTGCCCACATGAGAAGCAAGGAGAGATCTAAAATTGACACCCTATTGTCAAAATTGAAAGAGCTAGAGGAGCAAGATCAAAAAAACTCAAAACCTAGCAGAAGACAAGAAATAGCTAAGATCAGAGCAGATCTGAAGGAGATAGAGACACAAAAAACCCCTCAAAAAATGAGGAAATCCAGGAGCTGGTTTTTTGAAAAGATCAACAAACTAGACCACAAGCCAGATTAATAAAAAAGAAAAGAGAGAATAACAAATAGATGCAATAAAAAACGATAAAGGGGATATCACCACAGATTCCACAGAAATTCAAACCATCATCAGAGAGTATTACAAACAACTCTATGCACATAAACTAGTAAACCTGGAAGAAATGGATAAATTCCTGGACAGTTGAATCCTCCCAAACCTAAACCAGGAAGAAGCCGAAACCCTGAACAGACCCATAACCAGGTCTGAAATTGAGGCAGCAATTAAGAGCCTACCACCCAAGAAAAGCCCAGGTCCAGATGGGTTCACAGCTGAATTCTACCAGACATACAAGAGGAGCTGATACCATTTCTTATGAAACTATTCCAAATAATCCAAAAAGAGGGAATCCTTCCCAAATCATTTTATGAGACCAACATCATCCTGATACCAAAACCTGGCAGAGACTCAACAAGAAAAGAAAACTTCAGGCCAATATCCATGATGAACATAGATGCAAAAATCTTCAATCAAATACTGGCAAGCCAATTACAACAGCACATCAAAAAGCTTATCCATCGTGATCAAGTAGGCTTCATCCTGGGGATGTAAGGCTGGTTCAATATATGCAAGTCTATAAACATAATTCACCACATAAACAGAACCAAAGACAAAAACCACATGATTATCTCAACTGATGCAGAGAAGGCCTCTGACAAAATTCAACACCCTTTATGCTAAAAACCCTAAATAAAATAGGTATTGATGGAACTTATCTCAAAATAATAAAAGCTATTTACGACAAACCACAGCCAATATTATACTGAATGGGCAAAAACTGGAAGCATTACCTTTGAAATCGCGCTAGACAAGGATGCCCTCTCTGACCACTCCTATTCAATATACTATTGGAAGTTCTAGCCAGAGCAATCAGGAAAGAAAAAGAAATAAAGGGTATTCAAATAGGAAAGGAGGAAGTCAAATTGTCTCTATTTGCAGACAACATGATTCTGTATGTAGAAGACCCCATCGTCTCAGCCCAAAATCTCATGAAACTGATAAGCAACTTCAGCAAAGTCTCAGGATACAAAATCAATATGCACAAATCACAAGCATTCCTATACACCAATAACAGACTTAAAGACAGCCAAATCCAGAATGAACTGCCATTCACAATTGCCACAAAGAGAATAAAATACCTAGGAATACAACTAACAAGGAACATAAAGGACCTCTTCAAGGAGAAATACAAGCCACTGCTCAGCGAAATAAGAGAGGACACAAACAGATGGAGAAACATTCCATGTTCATGGTTAGGAAGAATCAATAACGTGAAAATGGCCATACTGCCCAACGTGATTTACAGATTCAATGCTATCCTCATCAAGCTACCATTGACCTTCTTCACAGAACTGGAAAAAAACACCTTAAACTTCATATGGAACCAAAAGAGAGTCTGCACAGCCAAGTCATTTCTAAGCAAAAAGAACAAAGCAGGAGGCATCACAGTACCGGACATCAAACTGTACTACAAGCCTACAGTAATCTAAAGAGCATGGTACTGGTACCAAAACAGAGATACAGACCAATGGAACAGAACAGAGACCTCGGAGGCAACACAAATATCTAAACCATCTGATCTTTGACAAATCTGACAAAAACAAGCAATGGGTAAAGGATTCTCGGTTTAATAAATGGTGTAGGGAAAACTGGCTAGCTATGTGCAGAAAACAGAAACTGGACCCCTTCCTGATACCTTACACTAAAATTAACTCCAGATGGATTAAAGACTTAAACATAAGACCTAACACCATAGAAACCCTAGAGGAAAATCTAGGCAAAACCATTCAGGACATAGGTGTAGGCAAGGACTTCATGACCAAAACACCAAAAGCATTGGCAACAAAACCCAAAATAGACAAATGGGACCTAATCAAACTCCACAGCTTCTGCATGGCAAAAGACACAGTCATTAGAGTGAATCGGCAACCAACAGAATGGGAAAAAATTTTTGCGTTTTACCCATCTGACAAAGGGCTGATATCCAGAATTTACAAAGAACTAAAACAGATTTACAAGAAAAAAACAAGCCCATTCAAAAGTGGGCAAAGGATATGAACAGATACTTTACAAAAGAAGACATACATGAGGCCAACAAACATATGAAAAAATGCTCGTCATCACTGGTCGTCAGAGAAATGCAAATCAAAACTACATTGAGATTCCATCTCACGCCAGTTAGAATGGCGATCATTAAAAAATCTGGAGACAGCAGATGCTGGAGAGGATGTGGAGAAATAGGAACACTTTTACACTGTTGGTGGGAGTGTAAATTAGTTCAACCACTGTGGAAGACAGTGTGGCAATTCCTTAAGGACCTAGAAATAGAAATTCCATTTGACCCAGCAATCCCATTACTGGGTATATATCCAAAGGATTATAAATTATTCTACTATAAGGACACGTACATATGAATGTTCATTGCAGCACTGTTTACCATAGCAAAGACCTGGAACCAACCCAAATGCCCACTGATGATAGAATGGACAGGGATAATGTAGCACATATACACCATGGAATATTATGCAGCCATCAAAAACGATGAGTTCGTGTCCTTTGTAGGGACATGGATGAACCTGGAAACCATCATTCTCAGCAAACTGACACAAGAGTAGAAAATCAAACACCGTATGTTCTCACTCATAGGTGGGTGTTGAGCAATGAGAACACATGGACACAGGGAGAGGAGCACTACACACTGGGGTCTGTCGGGGGGAAATAAGGGAGGGACAGTGGGAGGTGTGGAGTCGGGGAGAGATAGCATGGGGAGAAATGCCAGATATAGGTGATGGGGAGGAAGGCAGCAATTCACATTGCCACATGTGTACCTATGCAACAATCTTGCATGTTCTTCACATGTACCCCAAAACCTAAAATGCAATTTAAAAAAAAAGATATAAAAAAAAATTAACTGTATACATCACAAGTGCTGACAAAAATGTGAAGAAATTGGACCCTTGATCACTGCTTAATCTGGGAATGTAAAATGACATGGGTGCCATGGAAAAGTCTGGCAGTTCCTCAAAAAGTTAAACGTCGAATTACATAATCCAGCAATTCCAGTCCTAGGTATGTATATACCCGAAAGAACTGAAAGCAAGGACTAAGATACCTGTGCACCAGTAAACAAAATATATTATACACATACAATGAAACATTTCTCAGCTATAATAAGGGATGAAATCTTGACATACGCTAAAATGTGGATGAACCTTAAAAACATTATGGTAGGCTGGGCATGGTGGCTCACGCCTGTAATTAGAGCAATTTGGGAGGTCGAGGTGGGTGAATCACGAGGTCAGGAGTCCAAGACCAACCTGGCCAACATAGTGAAACCCTGTCTCTACTAAAAATACAAAAATTGGTTGGGCATGGTGGCAAGTGCTTGTAGTCCTAGCTACTTGGGAGGCTGAGGCAAGAGAATCACTTGAACCCAGGAAGTGGCGGTTGCAGTGAGCCCAGATCACACCATTGCACTCCAGCCTGGGCAACAGAATGAGACTCCATCTCAAACTCAAAAAATAAATAAATAAATAATCATTCAGACTTTAAGCCATTAATCAAAGTTTACGAACATAAAAAATAGAATGACTTTTCCCATCAATTGCATATTTAAAAATCTACATACAAGAAAAACAGAAAATGAGAAAATTTATAGAATTATTTTCTTTAACAACAGTAAATGGACACAAACCTCCCACTGAGTGATCACATTTTTCAGCTTCTGGATTTCAGCATCTTTCCTTTCAAGCTCTAACTTTAGTCTTTCAATTCTTCCATCTTTCAGAACCACTTCCTGAAAAGAGAGAAACAACATTTTAGGACTTTGATTGTTCTGCTAATCGTGGTTTATGATATTCCTTTGTGAAAAGTATAAGAGGAAAAATTCTGACCTTAATTTTCTGAGGCCACCTTATGCTGTTGACTACATTTCTACTTTCACTCAATTATAAAATCCTAACACATACAATGCAAACAAGTAAGTGTTTATAATTAACCTAAGCATACTGACAAACAATATCAGGGCTTTCAAAGGGTATTTCTATCCTGGAATAAACATATTAAAAGTGCTCTGTGACAAGTTGTTCTTATTAGTCTATCTTAAAATTCCAAAAATTTGAAAAACGACTGAAAATACAAATAGTAAAAAATATTTTTAAAAAAACTAAAATAAATAGCTTTTCTCTATATTACCAATTAACAGGTAGAAGATATAAGAAGAAAAATAATTTCCTTACAATAGCAAGAAAAACTAACTAGAAAAATAAAACTAAGAAGTGATTAGGACCAACACTAAGAAAATTATAAAATCTTGAAAATGACACAGAACAAAGTATGGTTTGTAACTAGGAAGGCTATAGGTTACTTTTTAAGTTCAATAACATTTCAACAGAAATCCCAATGGGATTTTGTTCTTTGGAACTTATAAATATAGTAAAAACTTCATCTGGGAGAATTCAGGATGGAAACAAACAAAAGTTAATTTGATGAAGGATTTGCCTATGAATTATATACTGTAAGGCAAAATAATTAAAATTATGGCACCTAGGTTGACAGAACAATGTTCTAGAAAAGAAAGTCCAGAAAGAGACTTGAGATATAAGAATTTATTGTAATGTAAGACTGATACTTTTAAAAATTGAGAAAATGCTGAAATACAGAATAATGATAGGTTATAAGGCAAATGGCTAACTGGGAAAAATCAAGTTATACCCCTGTCATCTTGCACCATATACCAAAATAAAGAAATTCAGTGTAAAATAATCACTCCAAAGTCATACTTGTGATGAGAATACGAATGTTCTATTTACCTAAGGAGTAATGTAGCAACATCAATGTAGTCCTCTACAAATACTCACTAAGCATCTTAACTTCTAGGAGCTGGGAATACAACAGTGAACAGAATTGAAAGATTCTTTTGTTTCTTTCCTTGATTAGTAAAGCTCTCCAAAGTGGTGACACTTAAACTGAAACTTGTCTCATGAGTAGAAACTAAGTAAAAAAGGGAAGTTAGAGCTTTCCAGGTAGAAAAAAAGTTGTGTTTAAAGGCCTTGAGACAAAGAAGGGCCTGCGGAATTTGAAAAAAAAAAATAAATTAAGCCAGTGTGTTAAGATAGTAAGGAGGAAGGTGGTACAGATGACTTTGGAAAAACCAGTAGAGACCTGATCTTGGAGGGCCTTGTAAGCCGTAAGAACAGTCTGCACATTATTCTAAGTAAAACAGAAAGCAGTGAAGGATTTTAGATTTGATAATGTGAGATTTATGTTTGTAAAGGATCCCTTTTCACATTGTGTGGAAAATGAATTGAAGTGAGGTAAGACAGGTAGAAATATCCTTTAATTGCTACTATAACCCCCAAATAAGATTATACAGCAAAACTTTAATTATAACTGTCTGTGAACATGAGATTATGAAATATTTCGCTTTATTGTCTAAAATTTTCTTTTATCAAAATTATTTTATACTGAGTAAATAATCATGGAATAATAGAATACTATTTTACTTTTGAAAAAAATCATGTATTTTTAAAAATCTAGATGAATATGATTATTATCTTTGAATAGAAAGCCCTTCTGAAATTGACATAAAAAAAGAGGAAAAATCAAACTATTATTTGGTGACTTGTGTTTTTCATTAAATGCTATGCTCCTGATATACATCCATGTTGCTAATGAATAACTACAGCTTATTCACTTCTCTTATTCTTTTGTTATCACAAACAACTGTGTTTTGAACATGTGTTTGGACATGTCTTCAGGGTTTAATCTAGGGACAGAATTTTTAGAACATAAGGTCATGCTCACTATCTTCAACTTTAAAAGCTAATGCCAATTGTTTTCCACAATGGTTAAATCAATTTACATTCCAACTAGTGGTATGTTAATGCTGTTCTATATCCTTACTAAAAATGAGTACAGTCTTCACTTTCCTTCAGTTTTTTCCTAGGCACTGCAGTGAAATTAGTATTACTATAATAAACTTTGCTTTCTGCTCAAAATCCTTCAAACATTTTTTAATGTCTGCTGACTAAATTATAAACCAGGCTTTAAATCCACCACAATTTTTTCCAACTTAACTTACCAAATTTATATTACATTTCTCTACAAACCTTCTATTTTAATTAAACTGGTTTATACTTCATTACCCCCACACTTTTACTCAAGGGATCCCAGTTTCTTCTTCATCTCTACATGTTGAAATTCTATTGTCTTTATAGAATGGCTGAATGGATTAAAAAAATAAGACCCAATGATCTGTTGCCTACAAGAAACACACTTCACATACAAAGAGATATACAGAATGAATATAAAGGGATGGAAAAAGAATTCCATGCCAAGGGAAACCAAAAAAGAACAGGAATAGCTATATTTGTATCGGACAAAATAGATTTCAAGACAAGAACTATAAGAAGAAACAAAGAAGGTCACTATATAATGATAAAGGGGTCAGTTCAGCAAGAAGATACAACAATTTTACATACATATGCACCCAACGCTGCAGCACCCAGATATATAAAGCAATTATTATTAGAGCTAAAGAGAGAGAGGGCCCCCAATTAATAGCTGGTGACTTCAACACTCCACTTGAAGCACTGGACAGATCTTCTATAAAGAAAATTAACAACAACAACAACAACAAAAACACTGGACTTAATCTACACTATAAGCCAAATGGACCTAAATAGATATTTACAGAACTTTTCACCTGACAGCTGCAGAATACACATTCTTTTCTTCAGCACACAGATAATTCTCAAAGCTAAACCCTATGTTAGGTCACAAAGCAAGTCCTAAAACATTCAAAAAATTGAAATACTATCAAGCATTTTTTTTCTGACAACAATGAAATAAAACTACAAATCAAGGACAAATGGAATTTCAGAAACTATACAAATACATGGAAATTAAACAATATGCTCCTAAATGATCAGTGGGTCAACAAAGAAATTAAGAAGGAAACTGACAAATTTCTTGAAACAAATGGTAATAGAAACAACACACCAAAGGCCATGGGATACAATGAAGGCTAAGAGAAAAACTTATACCTGTAAGTGCCTACATAAAAAAAGAAAAACTTCAAATAAACAACCTAACAATTAATGTTAAGAACTAGAAAAGCAAGAGCAAACAGAACACAAAATTAGAATAATAAACATCAGAGCAGAAATAAATGAAATTGAAATGAAGAAAGCAATACAAAAGAAATAAGTAAAACTGAAATGAAGAAAGCAACACAGAAGTTGATTTTTTGAAAAGTTAAACAAAATTGAAAAGAAAAAAAAATTAAAAAATTAAAAAAACAAAAAAAGATTTAAAACATTAAACAAAATTGACAAACCATTAATCACATTAAGAAAAATACCCCCAAAAACAGAGATTTTAAAAAAGACATTACAACTAATACTACAGACATGAAAAGGATCATTAATGGCTACTATAAGCAACTATATGCCAATAAATTGTAAGATCTAGAGGAAATGGACAAATTCCTAGACACATACAACCTACCAAGATTGAACCATGAAGAAATCTAAAAACTGAACAGGCTGATAATAAGTACAAGATTTAAGTCACCATAAAAAGTCTTCCAATGAAGAAAAGTCCAGGACCCAAAGGCTTCACTGCTGAATTCTACCAAACACTTAAGGAATTAATACCAATCCCACTCAAACTATTCTGAAAAAAGAGAAGGAAATACTTCCAAACTCCTTCTATGAGGCCAGTATTACCCTGATACCAAAACCAGACGAAGAAACACTGAAAAAAGAAGACTAGAAATCTCTGATGAATATTGATGTGAAAAATCCTGAGGAAAAAAATACTGAATTCAACAACACATTAAAAAGATCATTCATTTTGACCAAGTGGGATTTATCCCAGGAATGCAAGGCTGGTTCAACATATGTAAATCAATCAATTTGATACATGATATCAATAGAATGAAGGACAAAAACCACATGATTATTTCAATTGATGCTGAAAAAAGCATTTGATAAAATTCAACATCCCTTCATGATAAAAACCTTAAAAAAACTGGGCATAGAAGGAACATATCACAACATAATAAAAGCCATATAAAATAAACCCACAGCAGGTATCATACTGGATAGGGAAAAACTGAAAGCCTTTCCTCTAAGATCTAGAAGAGAACATTATTCAACACAGTACTGGAGGTACTAGTGAGAGCAATCAGACAAGAGAAAGAAATAAAGGACATCTAAATTGGAAAGGAAGAAGTCAAATTACCCTTGTTTGCAGATGTTATAACTTTATATTTGGAAAAACCTAAAGATGCCACACACACAAAAAAAAACAAAAACAAAAAACGATTAGAACAGATAAATTCAGTAAAGTTGCAGGATACAAAATCAACCTTAAAAAATCAGTAGCATTTCTATATGCCAACAGCAAACAATCTGAAAAAAAAAAAATCAAAAAAGTAATCCCATTTATAGTAGCCATAAATACAATACCTAAGAATTAAGCAAACAAGATCTCTATAATGAAAACTATAAAACACTGATGAAAGAAACTGAAGAAGAGACAACAAAATGGAAATATATTCCATGTTCATGGGTTGGAAGAATGAATATTGTTAAAATGTCCATGCCACCCAAATCTACAGATTCAATGCAATCCCTATGAAAATACCAATGATATTCTGCACAGAAATAGAAAAAAAATCCTAAAATATACATGAAACCAAAAAAGACACAGAATAGCCAAAGATATCTTAGGCACAAAGAACAAAACTGAAGGAATCAATTTACCTAACTTCAAACTATACTACAGAGC